CTCTGGACATTGACCAAAGCTATACAGCAGCGCCCGTCTCCAGGAAGCTGCAGACTATTGCACATGGTCCCTTCATTGCCTGTATTTTCCGTGGCCACGTGTCCAAAACGCAGTGTCCCATCTTACTGCAGCCTGTTATACAAATATGGGACTGTTGCAAAGAAGTGTGCCCAAATGTGTGATTAATCATGAGGTACTGTTTCATGTTTAATCCTAGTTTCCATTCAATTTTCCATTTCCTCCGCCATTTAATTCTCCAGTATTGTTGGGATGAAATATCTGCACACCCTAAAACCCAAATGGTAGTTTCCGTTTTCATCATAGAGTAGCTTCCATTTCATGTTCATTTGATTGTCCATGATAAGGATAATCTTAGGAAACTCCCATATCTCAGTATGGCCATATGCCCTGTTATCTTTGCATCTTCTTCTCAATTACACGTCTATGTATATATATATACACCTACATGATCCCCAAAGCCTCGCGGCTCCAGCTTTAGGACTGTGGGGGGCGGCAACTTGCTCGGGCTTGTGCCTCTAACTTGCTTGTAACCGTGGCTCCTTGCTTTGAACACGGTTCTTCTACAGCCCTGTGATATGCTTCCGCGTAGTTTCCCTGCTGTCTGATGGACCTGCGGTACGACTCACACGGGTGCCGATTGTTGGCCCCTCCTGGCTGGAAGCAGTTCGACTTCAGTCACGGATTGTTTATTGCTGCGGCTTGACTTTCTCCTTTTCATGGTTTTCATATGGGTTCTGGTTCCCAGGAGCACCCCTGCTGGTCGGGAGCACGATGGCTTCACCAAATGGCTCACCTATGGAGATGTTCCAGCTGATGGCCAACGTTTGCCGGCCCATAATGGTTTCCAGCCCTGGGCTTTGGTTCACATGCATCTCATCTTTCAGCACGTGGCGACGCATACCATGTGTTGCTCGCTCCTGCTTCCTGCATGGCATTGTGTATGTGTGTGTCTTTGGTTAGGCCGGCCCGCAGAGAGAGCCAGATTGAAAATTCGAACACGCGACGTGGAGATACCCTGTAGCACCAGCTATTTGTGGAGACTTGCTGTATGGTAAGTCATGGTGTTGGCTCGTCCTTGGAATGGCTGCGACTTGTTTTGGGTGAGGTTTCTTGTGCTTGTCGGCCTCCGAATATGAGTTTTCTTACACTGTCAAATGCCGAGCCAGTTCGGCCCAAACTGCGCAGACCTCGGCACTTGATGCTCAGACATCCATTGTTAGAAGTGAGGGTTGGAGTCCAAGGCGAGACTCCGGGAGCCAGCCTCGGTCTGTCGAAAATAGCCCAATCGATGCTTTGTTTCTTGGTTCCTCCTGTCCGGCTAACAGCTTGTTGAGTGTGCCCGACAGCCAGACTCGCGACCTGAGTGAGTGCATGTGAACGCCTTGTTTGGTTTCAGCCCTTCTGACCCCCCTTGTGCACAGCTACGGACAATCCACCATACTTCCGTAACACGCGCTTTGCTGGTTGCTTGCTCTCGCTATCATGGGCCAGGCCTTCCGAGGTAGACGAGAACCGCCTACAGGATGTTCCCACAATGTGCTGAGTCTTCAGGCTGCCGTTGTTTTGTGTGCTCCTTCGAGGAGCCGTCTGATCTATTTTCAGATGAACAAGTGCATGCATAGCTTACTCACTCGAAATGTGCAGTGTCTTCAAAATCGGCTTGTTTTCCAACGTGTGAAACGTCACGTGGGGGTGCTGTGCTTGCTGTGCTACACGTGATCGAAGTTCAACCTGAAGAATGGAAGTCAAAAGCATATAATCCCTAGATCTCCCTACGTAACTCTATATAATCATCAGATATCCCTCTCTAATCCTTATATGCCCAAAATGATCCCTTCTCCCCTATATATGCCCCATGAAATCCATGTCTTAGTCTGGCCGGCAGCTCTTCTTGGGTTTGCTCTGCGCCCGTGTGGCTGGGGATGATCGCTTGGCTGGTGACAAAGATCACCATGATCACCAGGAAGTACCTGGGCACACAACCCTGCACGCGAATACTTGTTGCATCAACATCAACTTGAACGATGACTTTTGGTCGGCTGGAGGCTTTTTCTTGTGCAGAAGCTTCGTGCAAAAACTTCATTCCTGACATGAAGTCTGCCAAAATACAATTTCGACAGGACGAACTTGTAGCTTGCCAGCTTGTACCACAGCAGGTCGGCAAACCTAATCACACGCAGCACTGGACACTCAACTGCTCTGGCAATGCTCGCAAGATGTTGCGAAGCACGTCTGGAATACGACGTGGGCCAGGCAGCATCACCACAGTGGGGTGACGAATGATCTTAGGGTCTCCATGTGCGACTAACCACTCCAAGTTCTGGCTGAAGTTGCCCTCCAAGTCCTGCAGACAAGGTGGCTGCAGCTGGGACGTCGAAAGCTCTGACTTTGACTGCTGCAACAGCCTGCCAGTTTTGCAGTTTGCCTAAACATACCCCCAGTGCCGTTGACTGCTGTCAGATCAACATGCTTTGTTGACCGCCCCTCTTGAGCGGGGCCATCGATCCTGTATCAAGTGCTTCACGTAGTAGTTCACGCGCCGGGAACCTGGTCGCAGGCTGGATTGCCTGCTATTACAAGAGAGGTACACATGTTTCTCACAGTCCGGGAGACATGATTCATTGTCTCAAGACCTTTCACGCATGTAACATGATCCCTGCGTCCAGTGTTGTTGTCCAGGCAGATGCTTGTTTTATCTTTCTAGGTCCTAGGTTTCATTGCTTGAGATTTTCAGCAGTCTTCAAAGTTAAGAAAGGCAGGATGGCATAAGAACTCCTGCAAAGCGTTTGTACTTGTGAAGTTTTCTGGCTTCTACGTGTAGGCTATGCAAACGCGGGCATCTCTAAAATCAGTGTGCCTGGCGCCTTCTTGACCTGCTTATGTTGTACACGCCTCAGCAGCGAAGCTCAAAAAAGAACCTAGCTTGGGTCCCAAAATCATTCCGTAAACTGTTAGTCATATACTTGACATCTAGGTCCCAACACTGTTCCAGAACCTGGACCCTCACAGGATTACAGAGCTTTCTACCCCGCACGTTTGAGCCTTCTCTGGTCTGACGAGAACGCCACACCAAGCCATCCAACAACCTTGGATAGGCCCAACTGGGCTTCTCTGGCAGCCTGTAACTCATCTGGTGCCTGCTGGCCCTGTGTTACAAAAAACACTGCCCCAGGAGCCTTAGAGCCAAGCGACGTAGGCATCAGTGTGGGGGCCGTTGCGCACAAGCGTTGGATAACTTCCGGATGCCGGGTGAAAAGCGTGTCATAGCCGAAATAATACACGTCACCTGAAGCGGGGGCTTGGATAAGAACAGCGGCTCCAGTCGCACAACCCAAGATCTCACCCTCACCCCTACTATGAAGGGGTCATGTTGTCCTCAAGCGGTAAAGCACCGAGGTAATTGCACTTGGAGTATTGTTGGCGAAGACTTGACCACTAACGCTTCGTTGGCAACATGTAGGTTGGGGGTTGGCGGAATCGACGCAGTCGAGACTTTTCCTGTTTCCAAGGCTTGCGCTTTACGGCTTGACAATGGCACGCTAAGCTCAGGCGCCATATCACACTGCAAATCACTGCTTCACTACTCAGAAGGGAAGTATAATGCAAAACACTACGGCCAACTATGACGGTAAGTAAGCCAAACGAATTATCGGATACTACCTGGTTATAGCTTCTTTTTCTACGTACCTAGGCTCCCGGCGGTCTGCCCGAATCGTCAGCAAATCTTCCAGCATGGCAACTGCGCAGACTGTCGCTCCTCAAATGGAATGTCTCCGTCTAGAGGCCGCCCTGTAAGTGAGAAGCTACCAGCCTGGTGACAAACTCCTTTAGATCCTTTGACGCCTTGCTGGGTTAAAGTTTATGACCCACCCCCAAAGCCCTCTGCAGGCCTTCAACCACACTCTTCACACTTAAGCCCATGTTTTGGGTAGACTCGGGTCCGCATGACTAAAGGTTCATTGCAACAAATTTGATGCTGCTCCAGTTGCCATGTCGACCGGAAGATGATCCCGGCAAACATCATTCCCACACCCTTGTAGTATCTGGCTGTTTCAATGCTGACGTGCTTGAGCTGTCAGTGTTGTGTTTTTTTGTTGATCAGCACTGGCCGAAGCAGCGCATACCTGAGAATTTCTGTCTTGGACGAGGCTTCGTGTGGACCACCTTAATAAAGAAAGAAGGCCTGCAGGCCTGAAGCGATCATCACCACATTCTCAGGTCATAAAAGATGATATTAAACTACTATTTAGTAGGGTTATATTATATTGAGGTTATATAGGGATAATGGAAAACAAAATGGACACCGCTATTCAGGGTTTAGGGCTTGGTGTTTAAGATCATGTCACATTCCTTCAACTCATAGTTGTTTGTGCTACTGATTACTCAGAAATTGCTGGCACTAGCCCTCCATAAGCTAATTTGGGTATTATTGTTCGCCTTCATCTACGTAATAATGTTAGCATGTCTAATACCATTGCGTATTAGCATTAATTTCTACATAAGCCGTAGTTGTACTATTGCTACTGCATTAGTATAGATGATACTTAATAACACTCATATTCATACTCTTGGTTTTCTCTAGTAGTGTAGTTTGACATTCTTAAAGCTAGTAATATTATTAATACTAGACTTTGTATTATTAATAAGAGTTAAAATATTGGCACAATCAGTATAACTAATATTATTAGTATTCCGCAAGTATGCGTATTAGATTTTTGTTAGTAGTAGTATAGACAATATTAATGCGAGTATTTGTAGTATTAAAAATTAAGAATAATAGCCTAAATCTTTCTATTACTATTATTGCTATATCATTATCATTATTATTATCATGACCCCAAAAGGGGTGGTTCTGCAGAAGGTCGGGCATGTTCTGCAGAATTCTGTGGTGGGTTGTTCGCTTGCCCTTATTAGGGTTACCCCCTTTGGACTTGCCCTGACTTGGCACCGCTTCCAGAATCCAAAATGTGAATCCTGTGGAGCTAGTACCTCACGCATTGGCCAAGGCTCCGCTGTCGATGGCCCAGTAAAAAGGTGAGATGGACTGAGTGCCTACAGTGATGCTGAGCAGCTCGTTGGCGCGCTGACCTGGGCCGCGTGCTGTCGGACGAGAAGGCCAGCAGGGTCAAGTCGTGATGAATGCACAGCTCAACATCATGTGCTCTCTTCGCTGGCAAACGCTCCTGCAAGCAGCAGTTCCGTAGGAACGTCTCAACAGCAAAGTATATCGAGAGAAAGGAAGGCTCTGGTGACAATCTAGGTCCCTTGGGCAACCTGGTGAGGCCCGAAACATGCAACAATACAAAAGCTGCATTTGCTCCCCAAAGGCCTCGCGAGCATACTTCCATGGCCTGCAAGAATGCGAGTGGCGGCTATCCATGCATGTAATCGTGTTACAGGCACCCACGTGCTTTCGGAGTTCTGCAGAGGCCTTACTAGCATTGCGTTTAGAGCATGGACCCTGCCTTCTCCAGCATCAATTTCTGATTGGTATTAATGGCTTTCATCACCTGAGCCCAGCTTGAGTGATTATGCAGCTGGTCATGACAGAATCGTTTCATGACCAGTGGATTGGGCATCTGGTTAGTTCAAGGATATAGCAGCTGTCCTATGTACCTCTTGCGGCCATGCATGTCCCACCAGATTCGACTAACAGGATCACAAGATGCCATCAACTAGTGCACCCACAATACCGCTTCGTGCAGCAAGGGCGCAAGAGTTGAGCCCTCTGTGATGGCCCGTACCTGGCGCTCAACGATCTGTTCTAGCGAGTTCAACGCCAGCCACACGAGGAATTCTTGAATGAACTCATCAGTAACAGCCTCATCTGTTTTGCCCGGTTTTCAAGTGTGTGGCCATTGCAACTGCAGAACGCCAAGCCAGGCCACCCCAAAGTTTCTAGTCAAGGCAAGGCCAACACCACACTCGGTCAAGGCACTAAAATCTTTGAGATGAGAGCCAAGGACCATCGGAATGCTTCAATCGCAAGCCTCAGCCGGCGCATTGAATGACCAACTACTCTGCTGTTACCACACTTGTGCTATGTTTGGATGCACGTTGAAGCTCGCTGCCAGTCCGCCTTCCATGGAAAGAGCCAGAAGGCCATCGTTACAATGTGATTCATTGAGCGTTTCCGCCTTACCCTACCAGCAGCACTACTCCAGCAGTTTGTGCCCTGTTGCAACAGGCTTTCTGTATACTTCACCTCCGCTGCGTGCTGCTGCAGGTACTTTGTAGAATGTTGTAGACACCTGCTGCGCTCGTGCCACAAAGCATGCAGAGCTCTTACGGCCCCAAATAGTCGCTTCAAATCCCTTGAGGCCGGCATGGCAAACCTGCAGTATTGATGGGCCAGGCCGAAATTGAAAAACACTTCAAAGGCTATAATTTCCCAACATCAGTGGCCCCAGAGCCCGCACATGCAATTGTCCGCAATTCCGCAAGCACCTGGCCAATACCATGCCTGCATCCAAGCAAGAGCAACTCAACTGCAGCTAAAAATCTCGTTGGTGGTGAGCTCTTGTAGCAGACCCACCGCTGCGGAAACGAAGGGAGGGAACCTCAAATACAACACCCCGGAAGCATGGCTAAGCGAAGCAATGCTAACTCCGAGGACGGTTGATTCAGGTAAACGGACACTTCGGGGCTACGAAGCATGAAAGTGCAGCCAGCCAGAAGGATGAGCTCCGATTTCCTGGCAGCCTCGCTCTCTGTTAACTAGCCCAAGGAAAAGCTTTCAAACCAGCCCCCACACACTGAGCAAGAGCTACTCAAACTACTGAAGCTGTACACAAAAAAACTGTACCCTGCTATGACACCTGGTACCAAACGATGGTTTGCCTCTTTCTTGCCCGCAAAGGCGCATCTCCACGGGAATAGCATAGCCGACGTGGCGTAAACCAATTCCAGAAATTTCTTCAACCATTTTTCTTGGGGCAGCATACATGTCCAGCGTCATCGTCAGAATTCCTTGGTGGATGCTCATGGCTCGGTGCCGGGCTGTCATTACCTCAACCCTGACGGCGCTATACCAGATCTGGCCACATGCAAGTGTTTCTAGAAACTGCGAAGGTTTACTAAAGGTTTGTTGTGTCAACCATCGCAGAGAGATTGACACTTCCCGTTCTCACCCTTGTGTACCTCGCGTCAATGGACCGTGAACAGACTAATGCATAGGCATGCGGAAGTGGTATGGCAGGATGTTGCATCGAACGGGTTTCAAAGCATGTTCTCTGGCCAGACTTGATAATGGAACAACATATGTGTGCACTTGCCCAGGTTCGACCAGAGATGAAGTGCATTCTTGTGGCTGACTGCTGGAAGAAGTCCTGATGTCAGGTGCGCTTTGCAATGCTGGAACATAAACCTGCACTCACCAGGCATCCACTGGCAGCCTCGGTTCTTCATGATTTCTGACAACTGCCAAAACTCTAGACCAAAACGCTTCTGCCGAACTCCCCTGACATCAAATTTGTGCGAAGCTTTTTTTCAACCATTGCCCTCAGCAGAAGCCATTCCAAGAATTTTCTAGATGCATGGTTTCTTTGCCAAGGTGAAGGCACAGGACGTCCTGACCAGCAGGTGCAAGCTCGAAGAAAACTGGGAACAGCTGCTGCGTCAGCCGCAGTGAATCCTCACCACTCACAGATTGGGCTAAAATCTGTGCCCGCGAATTGTTGTTTGCATTCTGTTCTGCCTACACCGGTTCCAGCTGCATGCCAAAAATGCTTGGAACCACAGCACCAATGCTTGTGGAGACAGCCCGCCTGTTCCTCCATGTATCTGAAGAAGTTTCCCAAGGCATGCTCCTGTTGTCGTGGCTTGCCTGCATGGCTGCAAGCTTAACGCAGCAACAAAGAAACCGTTGCATTGGCACAAGCCACGGTAGGGTGACAAGCGTCGCGCCTATCATGGAGCTGAGAAGGCCCTCGATGTTCTCCCAAAGCCAGCCCCAGGCAATCTCGTGACTCGAGTCCCAGTCCTCAAAGGGTTTAGGGTATATAGGGCTATATTGGGGTAATATTAGGGTTATACTTGGGATAATATTGGGGTTATATTAATCTCTCAATTCTCTGAATTCTATGCACTCTGCTCTGCCACTCCGCTGTGATCTTCCACGGCTCCTCTGGCAGCAGGGACCGAAGTGAAGCCAGCGTAACTGCTTTGAAGTCTGGCAGGTTGATGGGGCCTCCAAGGCTGACCAAGCCAAGCTGCTCCTAGACATGTCCTGCTTTGAATCTGCGAACTGATATCCTGAGGCTCTGCAGCTGTGTCAAGGACCAGCCTAGCCTCGGTACTTTGCAAGAACCAAGGAGACCACATCACACTCCTCCTGTGGGCAAGATCGGCAGGGCTGGCGCAACTTCAAACAGCTTCTCAGAGCAAAGCGTACGCCAAGAGTATACTCACTCACTGTACAGATCGGCACATCTCACAGTGTCCTGAAGACGGGAGGAGTTGGCAACGTTTCGAACCATATCGTCAAACTGACTGAGGATGATGTTCATCCACCTGGCCGGCCAGTGATGAGCAAATGCTTTCCGCAATGCAGGATACGCCAACCCTTGATGTCCATCACCGCTACCAGGAGAGCGGTCAATTGCTGCACGGCATGTATCGCTTGCATGCAGGCCCTGGCCAAACACAGATTGCATCCCAAGCAGGCAGCAGCCACGTGTTGGAGCCAAAGCCCATGACTGAAGCATTGAAAAGAAGCATCTCGTTGAAGGTGGTGGGCACTTTCATCCTTACCAGGAGCTGGCTTCAAAAAGCTAGCTGAAGCAAAGCTTCAACAACATTCATCCTGCCTGTGCTATGATGGTTACCTTATGATCATAGGTTTCCATGTTCAAGCCTCACTGCAGCGTACTTCCCATCGTCACTGAATTGCATTGGAAGCGTCTGACCATCACCAGGTTCACCGGAGCTGCGCGCTCCAGATTGGCTGGCCGGAGCCTGGCTTCCGTGTCGAAAACAGTTTTTGTTCTGAAATCAAGGCAGTTTTGTGTAGATTGAAAACATATGGCTGCTACAACTGCAGCTACACGCAACCACATTGGGGGAGGGCGCTACATTGTCATCCTATCATGAGCTGTCATCCGACTGCAGGCCACTGTGACACTCAATCTTGCAACCTAATGCAACATAATTGCTCCTGAGAAGTGGTAGTTTCCCAAAATAGGGGACCCCAATTCCTCATTATAGGGACCCCCAAAAAGGTACCCGTAATTTTGGGAAACCCCCAAGTGGGCAGGGCAGATGGCAAGCTGTCCACCGGGCCTTGGTACCCTTCGCATGGTCTTGCTTGTTGTCGTTAACATTCGCGTTGTTGTCGGTCTTCTCGCCTTCTTCATTACCTTCCTCAACCTCCTGATGTCAGAGCGCTGTTAGCTCCGTTTGAGACCAACAGTGGCTTCAGAAACATTCTGGCATTCCGAAGAACAAACGCTTCAACTTGATGGCGCTTGTCCGCTTTCAACCCCGAGGCCCATCTCCTCGTCTGCCAGTAAGGCCTGTGAAGGCCCGCTGCAAACATGTCATGGAACATGAGGGCAACTCTCTGCGCTGTTGGAGGCATACCAAACGACGGCTATGAGGCAAGGCCTCTGCTTCGTTTGAAGCGGCCCCTTTGGAAGCAAGAGTCCAACTTCTGAGAATCCTTGGCTACTTGTGCCAGGCCATCAAATCTAAAGCTCAAGTGGTAGCGGCACAGGGTAAAACTCTGGTGACAGTTTGGAGGCATTGCCTTCCCCCAGCAAAGATTCAAAACGAGTCGACCTGCCCATTAACTGCTGAAGCTGCAGCTGGTTCGTTTTTTGCATCTGTGTCAACATGTGTGTCCTTTGCTGCTGACCCAGCAGCAGGCTAATGCGCCCCGCATACTCTCGGCGGATGTAGATGAACGCGCCGCCTCTGCAGTTCCCATGAAACTTCAGAAATGTGATGGAGGTGATGGGAGCGGATCAGCGCCAAGCGCTGGCACAACGCAGAGTCAGACCCGGCTCAGCCTGCATAGTTTATCAGCGTTTGATAGCCAGCTCGGACACTGCTGGTGAAGCGCTGTCCCAGAGTCTCCTGGACACAATGGCCGGAAAATGCTACACTCAGGGTAGCTGGACTGCTAGCTGCTAGTGTGATGCCAGTACGGTGGTGGTCGCATTTCCAGGAAGAAGTTGTGCCAAGACCACCTTTGCATGCATGCGTGGGAGCCTATCGGATGTAGCTCCCTCGTTCGCATCTGCAAGCCCGAAACAGGTTCATGAATCCATATGGCTCAGTAATATTTTGGCTGTTTAGTTTTTGAGCTCCTCTAAAAGGTCCAGCAGGGCTTCACGGAAGAAGTCCACGCGCACACCTGTCTTTCAGGTGCTTTGGTTCGTGATTGCGGCTGTTCCCCTACGCACATGGGCATGGCATGAGACATGAAGGCACTTCCTTGCTGCCAAGGATCACAAATCAAAGAGCCATTGCTAGACTCAATGTAAGCCTAACCCATTTGATTCCCCACTATGCCTAGGGTCCCTACATATATGTACATATGTGCATATGTTTTTCACCTGCTTGAATATCTACCTGTGTGTGTATACATATGTATGAAGAACTTCAACTTCCAAGCTCCTTATAAGCCTCAGAATCAAGCCGGGAAGCTAGTGACCTCAATCTCCAGGTGCCTAAATCCCAGAGTTTCCTGAGTGAGAGATGGGTCACTGCTGCTCAAAATGGCGATTTTTTTACTTCTTCAGAGAACTACTGGACAAGATGCAGACATGCTGAGGCTTCATGCTTGGACGTAAAGTAGATATACCCAAGTTGAAGCAAACACAATATTCACAAGCTGAAGCCGGGCGTCAATCTCCTTTTTGAGTAGGGCCTTCTGAGAGCAGCAAGCAATGACAGTACTCAGCCCCCGCATGAAGCGCATTGCCTCGGCAGGAGTTCATGTTTTTTGAAACTCACTTTGACCCTCATGACGATCTACCCAACATCTGCATTCGCACGTTCTGTAACTAGCAGCCGACTTGTAAGTGCATAGGAAGGCACCACCACTGCTTTCGGGCTCTTGAACATGAGCTGAAGACTTGGCGCAGCATCGAACAGGGATGTGAAAAACCTTGGCTTGTGGAGCTACCGTTGGCAGTTCAGGGGTATATTGGGGTTATATAGGGATAACGGAAAAGAAAATGGAAACTGCTAGATTATAACAGGGTATTTCTTGGGTTTCGGGTTCAGGGAATCTCTGAAGAAGCCTTCCTCACATCCTCAGCCGAGAAACATTTCTCCAGCGGCTTCCCGAGACTCAGACTCGTTGCAGAAAGCAGTCCAGGCCTCTTGGACCTGAGTGCGTGAGGAGAATAGGATGAAAATGAGATACTATAGGGATAATGGAAGAGAAAATGGCAGCACCCAATATACTATAATATCTGGCTACACGGGGGTCATTGCCGAGCGCACGCATCTATGTCGCTGTTTCTTGCTGTTGTCTAAGACTCAGCACCTACGCCTTATCCGGAGTTTCTGTGCCTTGTGTAGCCATCCTATACATGTGCGCACATGGCGCAATTGCCGACCAGTGGCTTCTACTCCAATGTTCTCTGGTAGTTCAAAGTCATCAAAAGTAGAGTCGTCGACTGCGGCGTATCTTTCCTTACGGCAAATCCGGCAGTCATGCCCTGCACTTGAGCATCTTGAGCTTTGTGAGCACAGCTCCACGCTAGCTTGTCACAACAGTCAGATTGCCTAAGAGCTGTTCCCAACGATCCTTAAGCCCAGAAGCTAAGCCGAGCGTTTCCAATGCGAGAGGCTCCGGTTCTCCTTCGGAGAACGCAGCCAAGCCCCCGCCTTCGCTTTGATCCTCCTCGCTGCCTTGCTCATCTTCTTCCCATACCTCCAGTTTTGAAGGGCACTGGAATCTCTAACATACAGTCAGGTCTTGGACGTGCTGTGCGTTCTGAGAGCTCTTCGCTGGCACCCTTTGAGCATGATTGTGCACGGACCCTGTCGACTCACAAATGCAATTCGATTCCAGCTCACCTCGCCTCATTGTCATCGCGCTCGTCTGACATGGCCCAGGAGGACTCAGTGGGCGCAAACCAAGCGAAAGACCTTTTTGGTGAATCTGCTTGGTATTGGTGTGCCGAGTGCTAAGGTGGCCTTGCTGGTTGGGTAAGCTGATCCGAAGCGCTGGCATGTATGCTTGGTATGCTTGATGTGTTTTCTTCACTGCGCCGGCTGCTTGATCCAATAGCGAGTCCCAGGGCCAGCTTCATAAACCAATCATATCAACAGCCGCATGCAAAGCAAGTGCAACTCTGCAAAACATGGGAGTGTTCGGTTTGGGACATCATAGTGATTTACGGAACAGGCGGTGTAGTCTCACAATGCTCGTCCAGCACAACGGTTTAATCTGTGAAGCCTTGCTATGGGATGATTGATATCTCTGGTATTGGAGCTGCTCGCTGACTTTGCACGAAAAGCAGCCGCTTTTCTGGCGTGCATTCTCATGCCGACGGATTGCAGGAACGGCGCCCAGGTGGCACCTGCGCGTGAAGCCTGGTTGGGACTAAGCAAGGCATGCAGGCGATGCAGCACGGAAGAAACGTCTGCAAACCTGCCAACTCCAGCCTGCATCAAGAAGGCCAGTATGTTGGCTTCTGCCCGTCTACGTCGCACATCTTCCTGCGGCGCCCCGTGAAGATCAACAAAGTTCTCATAGTCACAGCAGGATCATTCACAGCTGCTGACCTCTGCAGACTCAGAGACTTTCATGGCCGCCGAGCAAGCACATCAACAAGACTGTTCGTGCAACCTCTATTGTCGCACCCTAAATAATGGAGGGGTTCGGAATAATGAAAAGTTTCGGGGAAATTATTCAGAATCAGCTATTGTTGGAGGGGTTCGGAATAATGCAAAAGTTTTGGGGACCGAAATAAA